TCACACTCCCTGCCCATCCTCCCCTGTCCGTCACCTCTGTTTCATTTGAAACAAGGCTCTGCTTCACCAAAAAAATTCTTTTAAAAGCACAGTGAGAACTCTTAGCTTTGGCAGAATTATAGTAGCAATATAAAAGGAAACATTGGCTGTTTGCCAAGGTCAGTAATAGAGATAATCCAAGAGAAGGAGTTCCTATTCACAAGTTAAAATGGCAGCCACAAATTTAGTGCAGGGATTTGGAGTAGTATGTTTGAGCAGCTGCACAGATACCCTTACATTTAACTTTTCATTATCTATAAAATCCCACACTGTTGAGAAATGATGGTTTCAGCTGCAATACCTGGAACTCTTCTGAAATAGTTCTTCCACCTCCATTCAGCTAACTTTTTTCCTTAAGCTGGTTTTCCTTATGCTGACAATGTGAGCACATCTTTTTCCTCATTTCACCATAAAGATGCCTTTGGAGCGTTCTCTGATGACTCCAGACGATTAGCCATTTTCCAGGATTTCTTTAATTATGTCATGGTTTCTTTTCTTTTTTCTTAATCTGTTGCTTTTTCTTTAAAAAATGCAGTGAAAAATTGAGTTCACTCTAGTGACCATTCAGACTACCATGCAGTTGTCAATAGAGAAGCTGCGAAAAGTGTATCTTTCATGTACAGTGGTGCCTTGCACAACGATTGCTTCATACAACGATGAATTCACACAGCGATGGGGTTTTTTTGAGGAATTTCCCCCATCGTTTAACGATGTTCTCTATGGGGGAATTTCACTTAACGATGTCCCTTTTTGCTCATTTAAAAGTGTCTTAAAATGTTTGAAACCTGTTTTAAATGCTTGGATTCCATAGTGCACCTTGTGAAACATGTGCAAACTTAATTTGGTTTTGTTCTGAGTCTTCATTAATTTTTGGTGATTTTTTTATTTTCCCCATTTAAATCAGTTGAATGGACAGTTCAATGCATTTAAATAGGGAAAACAAAAAATCACCAAAAATTAAGGACGACTCAGAACAACACCAAATTAAGTTTGCATAGGGTTCAGGAGGTGGGCTAACGATTGCAAGCATTCAAAACCTGTTCCAAACATTGTAAGACACTTAAAAATGAGCGAAAAGGGACATTGGAAAGGACTTCAAAAGCACTGAAGCCGGCTTCAGTGCTTTTGAAGCTCTTCCGTTTTCGCTCATTTTTAAGGGTCTTACAATGTTTGGAACAGGTTTTAAATGCTTGCAATCATTAGCCCACCTCCTGAACCCTACGCAAACTTAATTTGGTGTTGTTCTGAGTCGTCCTTAATTTTTGGTGATTTTTTGAATTTTCTCTCATTGGAATGCATTGGACGGAAA